GACACTTAGAGATCTAGCACAATTGCGCACAGACACTCAGGGATCTAGACTGATATTTTTCAATCTAGAACAGATAGTCTGACACTTCAGTATCTAGCACAATGGCACATAGACACTTAGGGATCTAGGAAGATGGCACACAGACACTTGGGGATCTAACACAATGGCACACAGACACTTGGGGATCTAGACTGATATTTTTCGATCTAGAACAGATAGTCTGACGCTTGGGAGTCTAGCACAATGGCACAGTCACTTGGTGATCTAGATTGATATTTGCCAATCCAGAACAAAGACAGGCTGACACTTGGGGATCCAGAACAATAACAGACCAACACCTCAGAATCTAGAACAAGGAAAAACTGACACTTGGGGATACAGGACAATGACAGGTCATGAACATATACCACATGCCAGGCACACTTATTTTTAGGATTGTGAAGAGGTGGCACACTTCTGTTAGGAAGAATAAGCTATTCCATTAGGTCATGTAGCTGACCCTGAGTTGGGAAGAAACAATATGGGAGCCTACTACAAGCACTGGAAAGCCACTACAATGAATAAAGGTCACTCTGCCTGGGGCCAGCAGAGGCTCTGCATCTCCTTTCCACTCTGGATACTTCCTTTACCTTGAGGGAAATTCCTTGCACTTCCAGACTCCAAAATCTCAACTTCTCAATGGAATCTGATAATGCACAACCATTATACCCAATCTACTGTGATCTACGGTTCATCAGGTCTGCTGCTGGTCACGGTCATGGATCACATACTGTATGTACATTCTACAAGGACTTTAGCATTAGGTCTAGCTTTGTGGCCATGTTTCATGCTACACTTATTTGAGTTTTTACCAAAAGTTTATGTGTGAGTAGTTATTTGTTACACTTACTAACTGCCACCTCAGCTGGCTGGCTGGACACAATGCCAGTTCCAATTTGGTGGACTCTGTAAGTGTAACAGTCACAGGGTGCTTTTTAGCAGACCTGAGTCAGCTGTCTCAATGGACATCATACCTCTCTTATATAAGACTGTTACACAACAACAAAAAACCTTTCTTGTAAGTGGTAGTCAGCATATACAACTAAATGTTTACAGGAAAAAAATTAAGAATAGATTTAGACGTGCAGCAAAAACAGAACCACAAGACTACAAAATGGCTTTGACTACAAGACTACAAAAGATCGCTTGTCAAGAAAGGTTGGTGATCGGTGGATGGTTTATGCCCACCTCCTTGGTGGTAAAACATAGCCACTCAGATATTGGATAGCCCAAGTGGAAGGCATGGTAATATGAGGGCCACATTGTGTTTTTGTGGTTCTCATACGATCGCCTTTATGGTACACACTACTTGTGTACCATCCTACCATTCATCAGATTTAACCATCGCCAGCGGTGTATTTACAAATGCTGCTGCCCTAGGCAAAACAGCAACGCCGCCCCCCCACGCCATGAATAGCCACATCTACTGGGCATTGGTCACTTTTTAAGCCGTTGCAAAATGTTTGGTTGCCTCGTTTGTCTAGCTGTTTTAGTAATTTCAAAGAACAGAGATCTATTGCTCAATCTGGCCTTTTCCTGGAAGATTAGGAAACCGGTCTTATGGCTTTATGCACTATGTGACCTCTGGAGACACCCCCTGCTAAGCAGTCTTTGGAGGATAAGTTAATTAAAATGGAATTTCTCCAACAGTTACTATTGCTTCCCCAAGACAGGGTCAGTGTCAGGTGTTTCTGCTCCACACACGAACATACATGTTAAAAAAATCGAACATGTTTATTGAGGATAATTTTCAGCGGTCAGGTCTTCTGATCACCATCTCAAGTCTATTACCAGGCTTAGACCCAACTGGACAAACATTTGCCCTAATACTTCAGATGATCGTGAGTCCTAGTATGCAGTTGTTGTAGCATGTGGGTGACAATCATATCATGAATATCTTAGATTGTAAACAATTTTGTAAACTGTATTTACGCCTCAATTTACCTGACCTATTGGTGGAGATGCAAAAACTTTGAAAAAGTCCTGCACCCAGCTGGTTAATGTGCAGATCATGGGGCTTCGAGTTGGAAACAGTGAAGGAAAATGGAAGTCTCCTCACGCAGGAGTAATGTAGAGAAGTCCATGATTGTCTACCATGATCCAAGTGGACTGGAAACCTGACGTCCAAACAGTGTTCGTGCCGGTGCCAAAAACAGTCGGCAAGCTATAGTAGAGATCTCAAGCAATTCATGAAGATGACATCAAAATATTTACCTGCAGAGAGCCTCTAGTGATTCTGCCTTTGCACTCTTCAAGGAAACCTGTGCTGATGGTTATAGGTAGACTGATGTTGCTGACCACCTTCTTAAATGCTCAGTCTTTAGCCTTTCTTAGTCACACTCACCGACCCAGAACAAGCATGCAGCTAGTGAGCTCAGAGTGAGCAGTCAGAACACCCATCTGCATACTTGTTCTGGGTCAGGGATTCAGCAAGTATTGAATCCAGGAGACTGGCATGACAACAAGGCAACAAGCATTTTCAAAATGAGAGGTTAGCAATGGCGGCATCCATTTAGCTCTCTTTGTCTTAAAAATGTCCAGTCAACGTTTTGGAGGTAGTGGTGAAAACCTAAAACCCCTGATGTGCTTTACTGCTGTCCAGAGCTCCGTCAGAGATTTATACTCATTTCCTGTACTGGTGACAACAACGGTTTCACCAGAAAGGAAGGGAGGCTAGATCTGCAACATTGACCGCAATAAAATGTGACAAGTGTTCTACTCTTTCCTCAGACCTTGTTCACATTGGCAGCAGAGTTTTCCGCCTCTATAAAAACAAATCTACAGCAGGCGTTCGGGAGGCGATACTACTACCTCCTGAATGCCTGTTTTTTTTTCAGTCCCAAGGGGCAATTTGCAACGCAATGCCACCACGCCACAATCGCATGCCAAGTGCTTGGCACATTGTTACAGTGGGGGCCTATTGACTTCAATGGGCGCCTATGGCAAATGAACCACCTGGCAAATGTGAGATGGCAAATTCAATTTGATGCACCGTGAAGTGAGCCATCATGACCACGGCATTGTGTGCAGTCCTGAGAGGCTGCCATGTTACTTTGTAATTATGCAATCGGGGGGCCGGTAAGAACACGGATCTAACGCCTGTTTATACTGCCCCTTTGCCACCTGCGTGAACTCAGCCTTACTCTACTAAAGAAAGCGTTTTTATTGCTGTTGAATATTTTCCTTTACATGGCACCTTTTCAGACTGGGCTAGTGTAATGAGCGGTGTGCCTCAGGGTTCTGTGCTGGGTCCCATATTGTTCAACTTATTTATTAATGACATCGGGGAGGGTGTTAACAGCGATATTTCCGTGTTTGCGGATGACATCAACATTGGGAGGGTAATAGACACGGACTTAGACACTATAACATTACAGGAGGACCTGGATAAAATAGGGGAGTGGGCATTAATGTGGCAGATGAGGTTTAATGTCGATAAATGCAAAGTAATGCACTTTGGAATTAAAAATAAACAAATGGGTTATACAATTATGGGTATGCCGCTAGGGAAGTCAGAAATGGAGAAGGATTTGGGGGTCATTGTAGACCACAAACTGAAAGGTAGTTTGCAGTGCCAGGCTGCTGTAAACAAAGCTAGCAGGGTCTTGTCCTGTATTAAAAAGGGGATGTATTGCAGGGACAAGTCTATAATTTTGCCACTTTATAGATCATTGGTTCGACCTCATCTGGAGTACGCGGTCCAGTTCTGGTCACCAGTACTAAGAAAAGATGTCCTTGAGTTGGAAAAAGTCCAGCGGAGGGCAACCAAACTAATTAGGGGTATGGAGGACCAGAGCTACGAGACAAGGCTACTAAATTTAAACATGTTCACATTGGAGGTGAGGAGATTAAGGGGGGATATGATCTCCATGTACAAAATGTTCAATGGTGGCAGCAACATTAGCGATAAACTGTTTAAAATTAACTCCATTACAAAAACTAGAGGCCACCACCTAAAATTGGTGGAAAAAAAATTCCAGCACAAGGGGCGAAGGGGGTTCTTCACAGTAAGATCAGTTAGGGTCTGGAACTCACTGCCACAGACAGTGATTTCAGCAAAGAATGTGGAATTGTTCAAGAAACTTTTGGACGATTTCTTAAGGGACCGTAATATACAGGGGTACGGGTACTCCTAGAATGAGATCCTAATAGGTTGGACTTGATGGACTAATGTCTTTATTCAACCTCAAATACTATGTAACTATGTAACATCCTATTGGGTGACACCAGGTCATGAAACGTGAGAGGAAATCTCTCTGGAGCCCCTGAGAGGAAACCAACAACCATTATACCCAACCAAACCAAAAAAAAAAAAACAGTTGTTCTAGTCCTCCTCCACGCCATCCAAAACTAAAAAAAAATATTGGCTGGACATACACTTTAAGATCTACCCAACCAGCCAACTTGACATCCAGATATATAGCAAAATCATAACCACTGTGCTTTGGTGCCCCTTTAATTCACCACTGGACCGCGACCATAGGCACTGTAGTACACAGGCACACAAATCTATTGTATCTACCAAAAATGAACTCATCCCCTATAAACCGCACGGGAGACGTTGCACTGATTTTCAATCACACAAACGCAGTGGCGGCCGTGTAACACCATTTAGTCGCAACTGGTCAGAAGCTTGGCATGACTAATCGGGGGGGGGGTCCACAGGAGCAGCTCCTGCAACTCAAAATCCCCCCAAATCACCCCGTGATTCTCAAACTAGAGTAACAGAAAATATCACAAATATTTCTAACTCATTCACATAAACGCACGTGTGTCAGAAGATGTTCCCAGAGACAGGAAATGTCGCCAATTAAAAAAGTTGGCAACGCATTGAAGGATTTCAAAATGATTCTGAATTTAACAGCTGTGAAAAAGTTTGCTTCCTCGTCTGTCAAAGTGAAAATAAAAAATATAATGCCCTTAAGATGAATGAGTTCTATTCATAAAGAAGGGGGTCTTACCTGCGGAGGTAGAGAGAAGAAGATGGGGGACAAGACCAGCGGCGTTACAATCAGGACGATGTACCTTTTGATGCACCAGATTTTCTTGACCAGAGTCACAAGTACAGACATAGTGCAGTACAGGAGTCTGCTGTGAGGCTGGGCTGAGCTGCTCGTTATATCAGCGTGGACAAGAGCTACTCTATCAAGTCACTTTGTAATGCAAACAACACACCCCTGCCTGAAGCCCCACCCACTGACCGATTAACATACAACCAGAGGTTGGTTTGGGGGAAATTGATTTCCAAGAATGACTGATCCTTCACGTTGTTAATGTATTCATATTTTTCAAAGCGCTGTTGCAAGACTGAGTTCCCTATCACTGGGGTGACTTGTATGAGTTAGATATATTCAGATATAAGCTGGCCATAGACTGGTAGATTTTACAACAAACTTTCATACAAACAAATGTGTTCAGAACATTCGATAATTCTGGTCAGAACATTTCATAGTACCATCAGAGAATTGACGATCCGGTCAAGATATTCGATAATTCCACCAGAGACTTGACGATCTGGTCAGAACATTTAATAGTACCATCAGAGACTTGATGATCTGGTCAGAACATTTAATAGTACCATCAGAGACTTGATGATCTGGTCAGAACATTTAATAGTAACATCAGAGACTTGATGATTTGGACAGAACATTCCATAATGCCACCAGAGACTTGACAGGCTGATCAGAACATCCCATAACGACATCAGAGACTTGGCGATCTGGACATAACATTTCATAGTGGCATCAGAGACTTGATGATCTGGCCAGAACATTCTATGACGCCATCAGAGACTCGAGGACATGGGCAGGGCATTCGATAATGATATCAGAGACTTGACGACCTGGTCTGAACGTTTGATAATGCCACCAGAGACTTGATGATCTGATGAGAACATTCAGTAATGGCATTTAGAACCTTGGCCAATGTGGTTTGAACATTTTGTTCAATTTTCAGATTCAATTTTGGAAATGCATGGAATCCCCAGAACAAAAACCACATTCACTGTTAGAAAAAAATAAATTGTCATCTTTTCCATCAACGGTGGAAATCGATTGCCGTTTTCACTCCAATAACTATTGGAAAATTGAATATCGAATTCTAAGGTTGTACGGCCAGCTTTGAACGTAGGGTTCGATCTTGGAGTGTGGGAGTGTATGGGCGTCTATAGATACAGGAAGTCAGTCACTTGATCATGGACAAGGACTTTCTGTCTGTGGGTTCCTGCAGAGATTGCGGTCTACTCTCAGGGGGAATGTCAGGCAGTGAGATGGGTCAGAGGAATCCCCAGGGCAGGTGTCACCTGGTGCGGCCGCCGGGTATCACCCACTGGGATATCATCACGCACACACATAATGACGTTACGCGCACTTAGCTGCCGGCGGCCGTCACCAGACACCAGAACTATTTGACATGGAAAAAACGGTATTGGTGCACCCCTAGTGTACATCTACACTTATAATGAAGAAGTGGTCAGGACTAGGTTCTGTGTTGTCACATTGCTACTTCTGAACATCAGAGGGGGAACCTATGACTCAAGCTGTGACCTCATAGTGTCTAATATTTGTCTCATTGCCCTGCCTGGCTGTGCAGTAAACGTGATCAATCTTCCCCCCTGCTGAGTTCTCACACCTTCTACTCATACAAGACTAGCCGCCATTGTGGACGCAGATTACATTCACCCAGACGGGACACACTGAGGGGATTAGCTGAGCAGATAATAATACCATCAGACCAAAGTCTACATTTCAGCACCGGATATAAGAATTCTAAAATGCAATCACATCTTAAAATGTTGCATTGTGTTTGGGGCAGCCCTCATCACAGTGATTAAAGTGTACCTATATCCAAAACATTTAGTCCTGCATAGGACAGAGACTGCATCAAAACTTTTCTTTTTGAGCTTTGTCCCATTTTGGAAATTCCCCTTCATTTCCTGTCTTGGAGACACAACAAGAAGTGAGAGGAAATCTCTCTGAAGTAATACTTAAGTTGACCTACACTGGTAGGTCCCAGAGAATTGTTGTACAAGTCATTCTGAATTGAGAAAGCTGGTCGGATGACCTGTGAAACGTTTTCAAGAAAAATACAGCAAGTCCAGTTGCCTTGACTTATTTTTTTTACAGATATACACTGGTAGAGTTTCCTTCCATTTTTTTTTTTCAAATGGAATTGTACTGGTGTATGGTAAGCTTTAGATGTCACCAGAACAAGTGTCCACACTTGTTCTGGTGACAAGATGTCCCCTAAGTTCCTGTTCCGGGGACAACTAGGTCCCAGTGGCTGTCCAATCAGAGGAGGAGGTGTGACAGAGGCTTGTTGGCTGGCATCCTTTGCATACGTCATTCAGATACCATCGTGGCTTGCTCGCAGTCCACAAGGGGGCACAAAGCTTTCACCTGTATGCCAGCGCTCTTCACCCAACAGAGCTGTTCTTCTTAGATTCATTATATATTTACTAACCGGTGAAAGGGCTGAATGTGAATTACCGTAATGGCCAACTTTGTTCTATTTATAAAATACATAGCACTTTATTGCACAACTCTATTGGTCCAACGTTCCTTCCAAGTATCATAGATCTGCTCGATTCAAAGTGAAATAAAATCTGACTCCGCACAGCCAGCTTTAGTGTAATCTTAAAGTGGAACTACAATCTCCTATCCCTTACAGCAGGGGTGAGCAATCTCCGACCCTCCAGCTGTGGTGAAACTACATATGCCATGATGCATCTGTCTCTGCCAGTCATGCCTATGGCTGTGAGAATCATGCAATGCCTCATGGGATTTGTAGGTCCATTTGGAGCTCCGCAGTGGCTGAAGGGCCAGAGTATGCCCACCCCTGCCTTGCAGCCAAGGAATTGCCATCTTAACCGCTATTTGGATTGCAGTAGCCATGGTGATCAGCTATGACACCAGCTATTCGAAGGCTTGAAAGTTCGGTTGAGAGCTGAAATAAGCACAACAAAAACATTGACAGTTGGCATGCATTGTATGCATTGGTTGGCATTTTAAAAGTAATTGTTTTGGGAGATGTTAAAGAGGAACTAGACCCACCAATTTAATGTCCCCCAAAACATTCACTTTTAAGGCATGCCAACCGTCAAGGTTGCCAGTGTGCTTATGTCAGCTCAACCGAAATTTCAAGCCCTCAAATCGACGGTGTCATAGCTGGTCACATCTGCAGCACCATGGCAACTGCAATCCAGATAGAGGCTAAGATGGCCGCTTCTTTGACTGACTGTAAAGCAGGGGTGGGCAAACTCCAGCCCTCCAGCTGTTGGGGAGCTACAAATCCCATGAGGCATTGCAAGATTCTCACAGCCATAGGCATGACTCCCAGAGACAGATGCATCATGGGATTTGTAGTTTCACCACAGCTGGAGTTTACCCACCCCTGCTGTAAAGTATAGGCGGGTGTAGTTAAAGTAACTGAATAAGATAAACCAGCTGCTGTTTATCTGATGTAAACATTGAGTGGGTTTTAGTCACATGACAGCTGCCGACATATCCAATTGGCTGTCGTTGTACTCTGATAAGACTTAGAACTAGTTGGTAATATCACAGTGAGTGGAATGTATCCCAACTGGAGCAGACAGAATCTGGGCAGTTGTCCACGGCAACCAATCAGCTTAGCGCTTTCATTTTTATCGCTTAGCTGAGCAAACTTTAGAGAGAAGCTAATGGGTTGCCATGGACAACTACTCCAGTTTTGATAAATTGCCCTCACTGTGTGGATTTTGGTCCCATGATAGCCGCCGCCATCTCCCATTGGCTGTCGTTGTCCTCTGATAACACTTGGTAATAATACAGTAAGTACACAGCGGCCTATAAAATAAAAGTGAATAGAATAGACGTGTGATTGAACCTAGCATGCGCACAGATGTAGGCAGGTTCTGTGCCGGAATGTTTTGAATTCTTCGGAGTTTAGCATGAAGCACCCTTTGTGTTGGAGCGTGCCTCTCTCTCCAGGTGACCTCTGACCTACACCGGGGAACATAGGCCTGATTTATAAAAACTCAAGCCAAAACAAACGGGCCTGTTGCCTGCAGCAACCAATCGAATGTCAGCTGTCCGTGGACGGTGTGAGATTGGCTCATGGGACTCCTCCTCCCCCACGCCATTTCCGTGCACCCAAACTTTATGCGTTTTCATGTTTTTTTCTTTTTACCAGTACAGGAAAGCTGGCAGGATCGTTTCCTTTTTAATTACAAAAGTAGATGTAACTGAATGAAGTTTACTTTGTGTATCATCAAGAAATGCCTCTTTTTTTTTTCCAATGAAATCCTTGTTTTCACCTTTTTTCATCTTTTCTTACATACTGACGCTGCTGATCTCCTGCAACCCCCTTGGCAACCACTTCCTGTCTACATGCAGTCCAGCGATGGCTGTGTGACATTTCTCAGGGAAGGAGGAGCTCCTGATGGTGACAACGGTGGACTGAGTATGTTCAAATGGCCACTTGTAGTCTCCAACAGAAGCCAGTGTAACAACTCAGTAGGACAACCAGGAGACGGGGATTGAGCGTTGTCACCCTATAACAGGAAGTGTCTAAGCAAGCAGGGCCGGCCTTAGGGGTGTGCGAGCCGTGCGGCCGCACAGGGCGCCATGGCAACAAGGGCGCCGTGCGGCCGTCACAGCTCGTCCTGTGGGCGGCTTCAGCAAGGATCTTCTGCAGCCTTTTGGCAGTCACTTCTTGTCCACATGCACTCCAGCGATGGCTGTGTAACATTTCTCAGGGAAGGAGGAGCTCCTGATGGTGACAACGGTGGACAATGTCTGTGTAATGTGTGTTGAAATGTCCACTAGTAGTCTCTTTATTGAAAGCCTGTGTACATGCATTTAATGACAACAGACCTGCGTTCATTTTTTATATTTTCTATCTGCCTGGAGTTTAGTTTTAAATGATGTACAATGTTTGTTTTCTAAAACTTCCTGTTTTATTGCTTACATATTTACAATTTCCTGTTTACATAATAATAACATAAGACAGTGAAGTCATAACAAATAGACCGGATATTTACAAACAATGTAAACTGTATGGTATAGGTCCTCTGTTCTCAAGTGGTGGGTCGTGACCCAAAAGTGGGTCGCGACACCGTGTTCAGTGGGTCGCCAGAGGAAACCGCATCAAACCTTTCACCCA